GAGGCGAAGGAAGAGTTGTAATAGTCAGAATTACAAAACCTATTGTTCATGGCACCCAAAACTTGGCAAACCCCATAGACCCCACAGAAACCATTTATTATAGTAGAGATGATCATGCCAAATGAGCAAAAGAAAAGAGAGACCAGAATCTATATAAAATAAACAAGAAGTTATTTTAAAAAATGTGCTTCCCCGGTGGAAAAAAATAGCATGCTTAGCTATATTTTGTGTAGTTGGAGATTTTTAATTCAATTTCAAGCATGCTAAACCCAACACAAAAGCAGGAGTATTATAACGTGTAGTAGGGCCCTAAGTCTTCCTGTGGCAAGTGAATTTGATCCTGTTTCAAAGGTTGATACTTAACTGCATCCTGGAATTGAATCCTGAATATTTTTAAAATATATATATACCCCTGGACAGTAGCAAGAAAGCTTTTCCACAGGAGAAAGATAGATTAAAGTTCTCTTTGAATTTTTTTTCATCTTCAACAGATATTCAGCTAATCCTCTTTTCTTGAGTTTTAAAAGTTATTTCTCCTCCAGGTTGTCCCTCCTTAACCTAGAGTCCTTTAAGGGTATTGAATTATGGGATGACCTGCCAATAGCCATGTTGACTAAGGATGATGGTAACTTTAGGCCAGTCCATTTGGAAGGACCAGTTTGGGAAAGGTTAATTTCGACCAAGTGTAAAACTTCATTAGAAGCAAATGATTGGATAAATCTGTGTTCAAATGTGTACAGGACAGCTTTTAATTTTTCCTTGACTTTCTCAGTTTTAGCACAATGATGGCGAGTTGATATTAGTGTCCAGATTCTTTTAGTCTAGTCATGCAGCCTGCAGGTCTAGGTAAATACTTATTCAAGTCTTCATGGATAACACTAACAATGGCTGTTGACTCTAGTCATCATGTTGCTGAATTAGTGTGTTTTGGTAAATGAAGCATGTTCAGCTCACCATTTAATGCTACAATGGATAGGCCATTAGTGTCTCTTCTCTCTTGACTTGGGTTTTTAAAAAGCAAGGAGAGCAAACAAATGGCTGAAGCTAGCAAATAAAAATTAAGCACAGCCTAGATGCAGTGGGAGGAATTATTAGGAAAGAAAAATCCACAGGCAACACATTAACTTCTGGGAAGAAACAAGATACGGCGTTTTCTGCACATCTGATAACACAAAGCCGACACCATCTTAATTGTGTGTTTGATGAGCTGAGATTGACTTTGGTCACAGAAACTCTAACCTTGCAAGAAAAGCTATAGACTAAATTAAATACGTGGCAGAAAGTTACATCATAATACAAAGAGCTTTTATGGTCCACTCTATGGACCTTACATTATACATGATCGTGTTAACAGGACTGATTCAGCATTGCACTCTGTGTCATATGGGTTTCATTCTCTCAGGTAAAGATGATAAGGTAACACATGAAGAGCTTCAGATCTGTCAATCTTGGCCAAAATAAAATAAAATATTTTGGGATTCCTGATTTCTCTTGCTCCATTGTATTTTTATTTGTTTGTTATAGTTGCATATTGTCTTTCCTTTCATAAAGCTCATGGCAGCATACCTTGTGTTTGTCCTCCTGCTGCATCTTCACAAAAACTCTCTGAGGAGGGTGTGCGGTGAGAATTGGTCCAAGATCACCCTGTGAATTTTATAGCTATAACTTCCCAACTCCCAGCCTACTACTGTGAAGGAACTGAATACATTGGTCTACAGCCAAAATGCTTCTGAAATAAATGTCATCATGCTTTACTAATTCTGGGTCACTGAGAATGTAAACGATGCTGAAAATTGTTATTGGCTCTAGTTTTCAAGATATGCTACTGGGTCAGTATATATAATCCAATATATGGATACGGTACATGGAACCTGGGAGCCATCTTGAAAAGTCACTCCTGTTGGTGCATTGCTGGGAAATTGGCTAGAGCTGAAAGGGTCAGGAGGACCTTGTCTGTTACAAAGAAGAGCAACACTTGCAGCTTCTCTCCTGAGAGGGAGGCCTTCAAGGCCATGCCTAGTTAATTCCTTGGGTATAGCATCTGTTGGAAAAATAACCTGAGCAGTGGGGTGGAGGGAAAGGTGCTCTCAAATTTCCCAACAGTCAAAGAAGAGTCTAGAACAGGAAGAGGCTAAAACATGAAGGTGAATGAATAAAAAGAGGTCAGAAGATACTTCTAGTAGCTTTAGCTTTGCTCTTATAAGA